AAATTTAAGATATGCCTATATATAAATTTAAGATTATGCCTTTGTGGACAAACTTAATGTTTAATAAATGTTTAATACTGTTTAAAAACAGCCAGACACTTTGTATATAAATATTGTCAATCAGTGATCTCCAGTTTACTAAGTTTTTTTTTTTTTGTATCCCTGCACAGAGGTTAAGCTTTCTTAAAGTGGGTGTAATCCTGTTAGTCATGAGAATATCCTAAAGGTTATTAGTACATGTCCCTTAAGACATATGAAGATCCCAAACAATTGTGACCAAAATATCTAGCCTGGCTATTTTTGTGTGTAACTTTGCAACACAAGCACCGAAACATTTGTTTTTCTGTCATTGAGGGGGCTTTCCTTGTTTTTATTCTGAACTAATGATAATAGGGGGAGACCAGGGATGGTAGTAACACTTTTTGTTTGAGCATCAGTAACTTATGGTTGTTTGTGCTAGATCTCTCAAACTTTGATAAATGGTATGTGTCTACTACTAATAAAACTTACTTGAAAGTATTACACAATCACAGATAATGTGAGTTAATGTCAAATGCAAAGAGTTCTGTTGTTACAACCTACCCCACTACTTGGGTGAGTTGTAACACTAGCTGGGGATAGATGTAACAAGAACTTTATTGAAGAACAAAGAGTACTTTTGAATGAAGTGATAAAGTGACAAAAAAACAACATTTTGTAGGCTATTTCATTTAGGACTTTAAATTTAGCACACAAAAAAACAAACTGCAGTGTGTGTTTGTGTGAGTGTTCATGTAGTGTACTATATTCCGGTCACATTCAGTCACTATATGTTACTATCAACGTATTTTTATGTGAATTTTGTCTGATAGTTCACTTGCTTTGGTCCGGACTAAATAAAATGTTTTTTGGGGTTTTTTTGGTACGGTTCGCTTTCACACTGCTCTTTTTGCAAGTAACCAAAATTTGTAAACAAAACCACACGTGTGCTAAGGTCGTCCATTCATTGGACAAGGATTCTCAAGTAGGGAAATCAGGAAGTGCAAAAAAGGCTCAGCATGGAGATATTTCGTACTGCAATATTTGTTCTTTTACTAATGTTGTGTTATTCTGTGCTACATGGGCATCTGCCCAAATGTTAATAAGGCAGCTCGTCTATTCGAAGCTCCAGGTCAAACCACGACTCATTTTTATCAAATGTAGTAGGCTACAACAGATCACTTTCCCATAATAACGCAACTCCGACTACGGAAGCCTGTTAACTCAAAGGCGCAGTGCTTTCTTGCAATTGGGTCGGTTCATGTTCACACCGTAAACGAACCGTACCAGAGTTCGTTTGGAACCGTACCGAGACCACCTCTTCAGCTGGGTCTCGGTTCGGTTGTTTGGTCCGCACCCGAGTTCGATTGCTGTATTCACACCTGCCCAAAAGGTCCGCACCAAGGGGGGAAACGAACTAGAGTTCGATTCAACCGAACCAAACAAGGCAGGTGTGAATACACCTTTAGTGACACCACAAACGCCAAGATGCATATAAATTCTAAAAAATGTGCACAAAAAAGTGTATGCGTGTAATGTTTTTATCTGATAAGACGACGTGCATAAACTACAATGAAAACATATTTACCAAATAAATCTTTAGATGTGCAACTGTACACACATTTTATAAGCTATGTATATTTTTTTCTAATTAAGGACATAAAGGGAGGTTATGTCACGTTTACACCACTTTGAGAGACAATTTTATCCACAAACTATATCTACACACACATAATTAGTTGGTTACACAAACTGCTTTAATTTAATAATTAACTGCTTTTACTGTTTATTTATATAATAAACAATGCCTTTAGAAGTCTTCATAGACTAACGAAGTGCAAAGTACTTGGGAACTACTGGGCCTCAAAGAAGGTAATGCACTACATTTGAAAACAGTATAAAATGGCCAATATTCAATTTCCTTTGGCAAAAAAACTCGTGACTGTGCCATAACAGAGGATGTCATTGATAACTGGAATCATTATAAAGGGTTGGTTGTAACATTTTTAATGAACTCTTATAACCATCCCACCCCAAACAGCCATTACTTTTTAACATGTGGGTTTGAAGTAAGCATGAATGCAAAGCATCACATTAAACTAGAGAAACAGCTACTTTAGGTTATGTAAGTCAAATAATTATTGGTAGGCAAAAATATATATATCTTGATTAAAAAAATGCTACTTTCCTTTTTGAAAATAATTTTTTTGTTCATAAAACCTATAATGTTGGCCACAGTAACATGTATTTCTCCCGTGAGCACAAAAAGGTGATGGGAGTGTACGATACTGATGACTTCACCATATCTCTTTCTGACTTGTTAAACTGACAGTGTTACAACTGACTGTGTTACAACACTCCTCGGGCACAGAAAACGTTCTGAACATTTTCATTAAGACATTGTTTGCTATATTCATTAAGTTGTTTTCCTCACTGAAAGTGTTAGCTAGTCCCCACAATGTAGCTGAATTCACGTTTTACTATCCCTGTGGGAACATTTGTTCCCCCAATATAGGCAACACCTGACACACACACACACACACACACACACACACACACACACATTCTTAGCTATGTATATTTTTTCCCAATTAAGGTCATACCCGAAGGGAGGTTTTGTCACATTTACCTCACTTTGGGGACAATTTTATCCACGAGCTATGGCTAAGTATGTACACACACACACACACACAGGACAATTAGTTGGATACACACAAACTGCTTAAAATAATTATACATATAATAAACAATGCCTTTAGAAGTTTTAATTGACTAACATAAAGTGCAAAGTAGGCTACTTGGGAACTACTGGGCCTCAAAGAAGGTAATGCACCACATTTAAATTACAGTATAAAATGGCCAATATTCAATGTTCTTATACCACTGACATGTCAAAACTTTGGTGCATATTTCTGACTCTTGGCTGCTTTATTCCAGGGTATATGCAGGAATCTTGAAGTTAATTTTAATACCTTTTTAAGACTTTTTCAAGACCTTCTCAATATTTTTTAATACCTCACCGCCACTTCAAGCTGTAACCATTTACATCAGTGATACTTTTAACTTAACAGTTTTAGTTTGTGATAAAGACTATATACCACTCTGATAAAAAAAAAATCAAATAGGATGGGATAGTAAATCAAAGCAAAGTTTATTAAAAAACAAAACTTTGCTCCACCCTCAACAACAATCATGCTGACATGTGCCTCAGTTCTTCGTTTTTTTTTTTTTTAATAAAAATTACTAAATTCACACACTTTTACGATGTTTTTGGGACTCAAACTGTTGGACAGCTAATTCAGAAAAAATAAGGGATGCACCGAAATGAAAATTCTTGGCCGAAACCGAAAACCGTAAAAGAGGAACCCAAGGCCGGAAAACCGAAAACCGAAACACCGAAAGAAATTATGCCAATTATAAGTACCATTGCATTTATGGTTATGACTGTGTACAAACTTTACTAAAATCAAGGCATTGCAATTGCACAAATTAACATTTTCAAAGAATAAATCCATTACAAATTATGCAAATATTTATTTAGCACAATGCACAGTATAAAATAAAATTCAAACTAAAATGTTTAACTTGACCCCACTCATGTGTACATTAAATAATAATCTGCTGGCCTGCAGAAAGGTTTTAAAATTAAATGTTCTCTCATAAAAACAAAGCTGAGCACGAACTTATCACACCAGCACCCAGTTTGCACGTCTAAATTAGTTGATTACATTTTAAAAATGAGCATATACTAGCATAAAAAGCCATTTTAATGAACAAAGGTCCATGTTTAATACAAATGTACACGAAACTTAATGAAATATGTTTAGTGAAATTAGAAAATATTTAAGAGAGCGTTAATTTAGTACATATTCCTATACATATTTTGTTGTAATGTCACAAGTAATAATCTCAGGTTTACATGATTATTTTTGAATTGGTGGTGGTAGGCTACTAAAAAATAAACATTGTCACGTGTTTATCTTTCTTCTTTACACCGATTCCTGATGGTTAGAGGACAGTTACTTGAGTCGTCCCCTGTCGTTTCAAAGAATAGTACAACGGCGAGCGCGTCAAGTCGCCTCGACCGTTTGGAGAGGTAACGTTACGCGCGCTGTCTTTGGAGACTCGCGCTGCAGAGGCAGGCGAAATAAACAAGGCTTCCGTCTCCTCGCGGGTTCAGATCATAGAGGTTCAGATATACTGAAATACGTCCACACCGCAGACATGTTGCTTCAGACAAGCACGTGCAGGTCGCGGTTTCTGTTTGCGTCATCACAACATTTCACATCATAAAAGTCTTTCGGCCGAAAACCAAAAATGCACTTTTGGGCTATTTTCGGACGAAAATTTTCGGTGGCCGAATATTCGGGGCATCCCTAGAAAAAATACTTTCAAAATTTAAGACTTTATAAAGCCGTGATAAGACTTTTTAATACTTTTTAAGGGTCTTAATTTTCCCAAAATTGATTTATCACCTTTTAATACTTTTCAAGACCCCGCGGATACCCTGTATTCAAAAGATATTCTATTTTCTGATATTGCACTGTGAACTGTTAAAATGTTCACATTATTCTGGAATAAAACTTTTTTCCATGCATTTAATTTGCCACACATATCATTTGTCATTTTGTGAGATTTCCAAGTATTAACTTAATTTTTATTCATCGGTAATTAAATTTAAAGTGGCTGAAACAGTGCAATGAACTACAGGTATATTGAATTTAATTAAAGATTTAGTGCAACATAAGTTTTCATGTAGTGGGTAGAAATAGTCTAGAGTTTAAGCACCAAATCTTAGAATATCAAGGACAATAACTCATTTTGAAGCTATAAACCTTACCTAGCCACATGAGTTCTTTCTTTCTTTAAATATAAATTTATACAAATGAACGGACATGCAAAACACTTGACAGTGCTGCTGCTCTTTCCACTCAGGACACAGGAACATGACAGCATGATAAATGCATAACCATCACGCCTACCTGAGGAAGAGCGTCTCTCCTTGTCTGATGGTGATATTGTCCATCTGTTTGTTATCGGATTGGGATTCTCCTTGACTGCGGACAGGCAGACCTGCGGGGAGAAGGAACAGCAGTCTGAGACTCATCACCACACACCTCCTCCAGGACGCCGCGCATCCTCCACACACAGCCATCTTCATCTGCGGAGTTTTCGGAGTGTAAATCCGTTCACGGTAGTCCAAAAGAGAAACGCGTTAGTTAGCCATTACAGTTTATCTGTTAATCCAGATTTCCTCCCCAGGTAGACAACAAAATCCCTCGCGTACTTAGTACAGAGCGCTTATCGATGACCGTGCCGTCGCCATGGAAAAGGGGGTTAAATAAAATAACGTATGAATGAAATGTACACTTTAGTGGTGACCTCAATCGTTCTGGTTTCTTAAATCCTATTGCCTTTAATATCCGCACTGAAAATCCATCTTTTTTCCCTCAGCAGGGACGCTGTCTCAAACTTTAAGAAGTGGAAGCTGGAGAGCTGAGAGCGAATGAACGTGCCAAACTGTCACTCCAGCTGTGCCTGAATAGATATGGAGGGTGTTTGTGGTTCATCAATGCAGGACAGTATGAGTATACACAGTCTTCTCAAGAAAAAAAAAGTCTTCCTCTAGTCTAGTGGGACCGTTGCTCGGTTTTTTTCCCCCGAGCCTACTGGATAACCGCGGAAGGGGGCTGTGTGAATCGCACGCAAGTTGGAAAAAGCGCGCGCTGTTGTCATAGCAGCAGCAGCCGCGTCCTCACTGGACAGGGGCCATATGTATACAGTAGTAGGCTACAGCGCAAAACACAGCGCACAAATCAGAGGCTATTGCAGTATACAATGCATGAGCGACATTCATTTATTGCGGCCTCTGCCATTCAGAACAAGCGTTAAAGACTATATGGGGAGGCTGCAGACCTGGAGCCTGCAGATATACGCCCCTGACAGTTTTACGCCCCGGCAGTTTTAGGACCCTGTTGTTCCTGATGCGTCCAGTAGAGGGATATACTGCGAAATAACATCATTAAATCGACGCTTACACATTAATAACCCGTCCATAGACTTGACAATTTTGTGTTTTTTGTTCATTTAAATATAAACGTTACAGTGTAGATCTCTACGGATTAAATTAGATATTCAGTTGGGCTTCACTCTCTTCACTCAACCTACAGAAGACTATTTGTTTTTGTGAATTGAAAAATTAAAAATACACATAGTTGGATCAACTATGTGTTATGACAGGTGATGCTATGACCTACTGCAGTTATAGGCCAATTCACCGTAGGTTTTTATATACAGGAGACTGAGTGAAATATGTTTTTGTGAATTTATATAAAGTCACATTTAGATATTAACTATATTTAGCCCATTAGACATGCAGTACCGTGTAATAATATGGATCCTCGATGAAATATCTGCTGTACTATTCTATTGGTCATCATACAGCTACAAAACAGTGTCCTACACAGCATTTTATGAAGACAAACACAATTTATCCCTTTTCTAAAATTCCATGGGCCATTTAGAAGATATAGACAATATTGTTGTTCACAAAAAAATATTTATTAACACCATTTATGAATTATGATGACTCCCCTATGGTTTGCCACTCTTCTTTAACTGTTTTTTTTCTTTAACTGCTCCTGCTCACTGATGAAACATTTAAAAATGAAACATTAAAAAAGTTAAAAAGGACATCCATGGTGAATTTGACCTTGTCCCTGTGTGTGTGTGTGTGTGTGTGTGTGTATTTCCTTTAGTAGCTAAAGCAAACACACCTTTATGAGATCCAAGTTAAAGAGAATTTGGTAAAGACAGAGTATGATAAAACCCACATTAAGTGCACATACCCTACATTTGAGTCCAGATCAGTAAGCTATTTTAAGAAAAAATGTATATTAAAGGTGCTCTAGAATGTTTTTTTTTATTTTTTTATAATGTTTCCTGGGTTACCCTTATAATGTTAGTATGTTTTTTAGATAAAAAATAATCATAATTTAGAAATAAATGGCATTTTTCCTAGCCTGCTTTTAGCCTCTGATTTGAACACTCTGTTTGAAGGGGCGTGTCTGCTGTGGGATTCAGTGTAACCGCGGCCACTGCTGTGATTGGCTGTGGGATTCAGTGTAACCGCGGCCACTGCTGTGATTGGCTGACATGCTTGCATATGAAATAGCTACGCATTACATGTGAAACTCTCTCCCGAATACTTTACTACTGCTATTATACGTTTTTACTATAACAGCTATCGAGATTAACGAATCGTGAGATGTTTTTAAAGTATTTAGATCTATTCCCATCACATAAAATGTTGCCGTGATGAGCATTGAGCAGATGACAGTGTGTTGATCGCGAGAATGAAGATCTTATCATTGCAAAGCAGTTTCTGCACTCTCTCTAAGGCTTTCACCAATGCAAACACGATGATTTAAATACAGTAAGAGCTTCGTTGTGCAGTAACGTGCGTCATTGATTTCATAACGAGTTTGGCAAGTGTCCAGATAAACTCGCGCTGTGTGGAAAGATTGTTCTTTGATCGCTTTCTGTATATAATTTGTTCACAATTTAAATACGATTATTTTCATCCTACTAAAAGAAACGATGTGAAGCTGATATTTTAGTCACTGGCTTGACTTACTGATGCATAAACAGTATTGAACGATTTTGAGAGAAAGATTACCTGTCTGAACTTGAACAATTACACATCAGAAAGTGTTGCTTGGTAGCTCGATCCGAGGCCAGCTCTGTATTGGCCCAAGTTGAGGAAACAGTCTTCGGTGAAATGTTTGGAAATTTCCAGAGAAAATAAAATTAACCCATTGTTTCTTCAGAGGCTCAGATGAAGGAACTAAAAAAATACTTTTGTGTTCATGTGTACATCCACACTGAGCAACTGCCATGCTTCGGCTGCGCAGTTCCGCCTGGCATTGAGGGCTGGCATTATGCAAATATTTGGAGGCGTACATATTAATGATCCCGACTATTGCGTCACAGTCGGTATTGTGTGAAGAACCGACCGTTTTTCAGGGGTGTTTTTCATAAACGTGAATTAAATGAGAACGCGAAAACAGTCCAGTTTGAGATTCACTCTATGTCATTTCCATGCACTGAACTCTTGTTATTTGACTATACCAAGGTAAATTCAATTTTGAATTATAGGTCACCTTTAAGATATAAATGAGATAATTAGATCATCTCATTTATAAGAAACAACTCAAACCAGAATCTACATTCAAACCATATGGGGAAAGTTTTTAATATGTTTTAACGTATTTGAGTGAGTGTGCAGTTTAACTCTTTACTTAAAGAGAGAGAGAGATTTACATACCTATTATAAATGTGTCTTTTGTGTGTTCACACCATAGACTGTAAAAAAAATTAACATATTTCAATAATCTACTGTAATATTGCTCTATAAACCATGTGGAGTATGTTTTAATGCAAGGAGTAAACAGAGTCTTACCAGAAGAGGCCAAGCTAAAGACAGGCAACAAAAGAAAATTAAAATGTTAAATTGAGTAGAGAAGATAGGGGAAGCTAAACGTGGTTAGCTAAGTTTAAGCCAGATAGAACAGAAACCTGTCAAAATACATTATAGACCCATCCATTGATATATAAATGAATTGATATCTACCTACCCTAGCTCTATCGAGCTAATCGTTTATAAATAATAAATGTTGCATCGTTGCTAAAAAAACAATAACTTTAGCAGATTATTTAACATACAAATGACAGAATCTATTTTTGTCAGATTTTAATTCTAACGATGTTAAACTTGATTATACGGTATTATTACTTTGTCTTCTGGGCAAGTTTCATCTTCATAAAGACAGAACCATTCAAAGTAATCCTGATTCTAGAATATTCTCCTCTGATATAAAGTTAATTTTTTTCTTCCTTTAAGAAAATGTCAGAACCTTTAAACTCAAGGTTTATATAAAACAAATAATATCATTGAGTCTGTTGTAAAGAACCTTACATGTTTTTATATTGACAAAATGTAATATTGCATTGATTTGTGTAACCTAATTCAATCTCTTTTGATGTCCGTTTACCCCCCATGTTTTTTTGTTAAACAGATCATTTAATCCGTGCAGATCTACACTATAACTTTTATTTAAATTAACAAAAAACACAAAATTGTCAAGTCTATGGACGGGTTATTAAGCGTCGATTTAATGATGTTATTTCGCAGTATATCCCCCTACTGGACGCATCAGGAACAACAGGGTCGTAAAACTGCCGGGGCGTAAAACTGCCAGGGGCGTATATCTGCCGGCTCCAGGTCTGCAGCCTCCCCCTACTCGTTAAAGAAGCTCTCTCGAAAAAGAAAATTGAGCTTTCTTGTACAAATCACAAACCAAATAACCGATATTTTGAGAACTAAAGGGAATGTCTAGACAGAAAATGACAGGAAAATGTAGGTATAAAATCAAGAGCGTCACGAACACACACATAGCCTACACATGTAAATTTATTCCATATTTTGTAGCTTAACCCTAAAACCACATTTATTTTGTGGGTATATCGTCCTGAGACAGTGCTTTCCATCGATTAAAAAGATTAACAACAATTAATCGCAATTAAAAACGCTTCGTTTTCAACATAAGTCGTTATACGTTTAAATATTTTATAATAATTTCACAGTTAATCTCCAAATTAATGTATAAATTAATGTATATATCTGTATGACAGTAGTCTACATTTTAAAAACGTGTTTAATGGCATCTTTTTATGAATGAAGGCCAGCATCACTGATACAAACACTGCTACATCATGTCTCAATGAAATAGTAACAGCAATCCAACATTAGAGTGTAAAATGAAAGCTATACATTTTTTAACATGTATTAGGCTTCAAAAATATAACAACGTTTAATTTAAGTGAACTTAAAACAATCCTCATAATAAACCCATAATAAACCTCATATTTACCTGTGGTAGGTCTATATGTGAAATTTACAGAAATTGATTAACGTAATCAAACAGTCTTCCCTGCATGGATTATAAATTATTTATAGATGAATCCTTATTAAAGATACAAAAGCTCTTTAGTCAAGAGCAGTGAGTAACTGTCTCTGTTCCCTTTGTCCTTTGATTAAAATTAATAACAGACAGCATTCGTGGCTGCTGTCCCTTTAAAGATCTGCCGCTGCTGCACATGACGTGGATCTCGCACGTGTCTATTTTCTCTTTACGTTCATTTAAGACTTTGATTAACTCATGTAAGACTATTCTTATGAGGATATAGACAAAACGGACAGTTTTTGACAGTCATTATTGTTATTGTTCGTTTAAGCGAAAGATAACTCGATTCTGGCACGCTGTCTGTGCGCACGATACTGTTGCGTGTCTTGTTTGTCACATAAACAGGACATTCATATATGTTCTCTGATGTCTAACTGAATAAGATAATTTGCATGAATTAGAGCGTGATCATTTAATGTAACGCTAGCAAAAGGATGACAGGAAAAAAAATGGATGCTGCGTTAATTGCGTTAAATAGAC